AGCATCTTCCGCGGCTCCTCGTTTCGAATCTGCACGAGTGGGACGCTTCCCGTCATGGTTATAGACGCAAAGTCGTTGCGGGACCCTCATGTTTATAGCACTGCCGCATGCCCCCTCTGACGATGGGAGTGGAATCGAGGCTCGGGTAAAATGGTAGAGGCGTACGGGTTTAGGAGCAGTTTTCTAGGCAGGGGCAGTACGGCGTGGGCACGGAGCTGCTTTGTTCTCATATTTGGATGCAAGCAATCTTCCATCTCGTAATTTCGAAATGTTTGGTATTGCCGAGTGACTGCCTTTAACATCGAACTCGTTATGATTAGAATCTACTTTTCTGCACTATTTCAGCGATGTCACCCGTCTTTTACCAGCTCTGTTTTCATATACGCGTATGCATGCTCAATTGATCTCACCACTAAATCACAGGGCTTATCAAATGCAATGTCGCGTGCACCAGCATCTCCACTTCCGCGCGGGACTCTGTGCCTCTTTAGCCAACATGCTCTTTGGCCTTGTCCACTGATCAGAGAGCATGTCCGCCAAGGGATGCAGAGTCCGAAGCGATCGCGCGAGGGCAAAGATGCTAGTGCACCCAACCTGCATTTGAAAGTCCTGTATATGACGTGACAGCCTAGGCATCATCATAAAGTACTGTAAATTTATTACATATTCCTTACCATGAAACACACTTCTAAACCTCTGCTCTTCTGATGAGATTCAATTTTGGCAGTACGCAGCATGAAGAGAAAATTCACTCTATCACTTTGTCAACATTTTCTGATTTTTTGTTTATATTGCAGACACCTGACAGTTTGCACTTGTAAAATTCACAAACCTCTTCAAGTATGAAAAGTGGATTGATTTTCCTGCTTTCTCTTATCATCCAGGTTCAACTTTTCACACTCCAATTCAGGCGAAAATACCATTTGTTCCAAGAATGAGGGATTGACAGATTCGTTAAGGACGCTTTTCCTTAATTTTCACAATTATCGCAGGTAGATGAGACGTGTTAGATTCATGATGGTAATATGCGAAGTGATTGGATGCATTATGTTCAGGGCCAAACTAGCTCTAGGCGAAATTCTCAGCTACGATGGTAGGCGCCTGCCACCGGCTAAGAATATGTTGAAATTGGTGAGTGAGTCAATGTTAATATTTCATTTGAAGAAAAACTTTTCGGTAGAGCTACGCCTGTGAGTTGGAAGCTTCTGCCACGCACTACGCTGCCCACTGTCCATCAATGAGATCTAGAGCGAGTAGTAGGCCGAATCAAGGGGAGAACTTTTTGCGGCTTACAAAAGTCGGATTTCCAAGTTTTGCCGGTGCTGTCAACATGGTAAGTTTGTGCACTAAGCTCGAGAAGGTTTTTACTTTGCTTTTTACTTTACTTTTTTTACTTTTTTTACTTTTTTATTAGACTGTTTATGACTGGTGGAGTGTTGTCGGTGATACTCGTGGCATTAACAATACCGCAGAACTCAAAGCGCATCATCTTCGGTCTCCTATAGCATCTTTTACTCAGGTAATAATAAACCATTCTCAAAATAAAGCAAGTCTGATTATGACAATGACAGATGGCATGGGCAACGACTAGATATCT